CCATCCTCGCTCATTCCGAATCGACTGCACCACTTTCTTTTAAAACGGACGCCTCAGACGTCGCAGAGCCGTCCTCCAACAACACGTCGGGTTCTTCTCTAAGCGACTACAGCCAGCGGAATCCCGCTACTGTAAGTTAGGCAGAGGACTGCTAGCCGTGTATCTAGACATTCGTGACTTCTGGCAGACACTTAAAGGTCGTGATTTCACAGTCTACACTGACCACAAGCCCCTCATCTACGCATTCAACTCCACTTGCGACAAATATTCACCACGGGAAACAAGACACCTAGACCTTGTCACTCAGTTCACTGCTGACATGCGTCATGTCTCGAGTGTCCACAATCCCGTCGCCGACGCTCTCTCATGCGTCAACCCAACTCTCCAGTCTTTGCCTACCACCAACCTTGCCGCCATGACATCGGCTCAGGCTCAAGATGAAGACATACAATGCACTCTGCAGTCCACTTCGCTGCATGTGCAACATAGCCCCCTCTAAACCCCGGAAGCAACCGTAGTGACACCTCCACAGGTTTTCTTAAATCTCTCATGCCCGTCCCCTTTGGACGTACAGTCTTTGACACACTACACTCACTATCACATCCCAGTATCAGTGTATCTTTGAAACTGGTCACGGAACGTTTCGTGTGGCAAGGCGTAAACAAAGATGTTGGTACCTGGGCTCGCGCCTGCCTTCAATGACAGCGCTCCAAAATACACAGTCACACCCGCAGTCATCTGGGTTCATTTCCCGCTCCGGACTCTCGATTCTCGCATGCACACTTGGGCCTAGTAGGTCCCTTGCCTCCTTCACGCGGATTCGTATGCATTCTTACATGTGTCGAACGCTTCACCAGATGGCCAGAAGCCATTCCCGTAACAGTGCACACAGCTGAAGCTGTTATCCGGGTCTTCTTAGATCGGTGGGTCTCGCACTACGGATGCTCATCTACCATTACAACTGACCGAGGAACGTCCTTCGAATCTTCACAACTGGACACGTTCTGCAATTTTTTAGGCTGCTGCAGCATTCATACTACAGCGTATCACCCAGCAGCCAACGGTTTTGTTAAACGCTTTCATATACAGCTAAAAGTCTATCTCTGCGCCTCCACCGACCCTAACTGGAGCGAAAATATTTCGCTCGTACTCTTAAGCATTCGTAGCAGCATCAAAGCTGACTTGCCATGTGCACCAGCAGAGCTGATTTTCGGCACAACGCTAAAGTTGCCAGGCGAATTCGTTTTGTCTCTCACATCGTCTAGTATGCCTCCGCCTAACTTTGCGTTTTCCCTAGCTCAACGCGTGCGTTCACTACGCCCGACTCCGCCAAATGAACAGACTAGTGATGCGTAAATACACCCACATATTCCTCCGCACCAAGGCAGTGCGGCACCCTCTCCAACCTCTGTACACTGGCCCTTTCAGAATCCTGCATCTTACTCAGAAAGATTTCACTTTAACTCAGAATGTTCACCGAACAACGGTGTGCAACAACCGCTTCGAAGTGGCTTTCTTTGACAAACCACTTGCAACCCACCCTGACGCTATCACACAAGCCACCTCACCTGCTGTGAGTTCCAGAGCACTGGATATCCCGGAACCCTCCGTTCCCCTTGATCCTCAACCTACACCGCCTCAACCCCAAGCAAACGACCAACGCGGTAGACAGGTCAAACGTCCGAACGTTTCTCAGATTTTGTAAACCTTTGCTATTTCTATTAACACACCTTTTTGTCTTTAGTGATAATCCTGAGTCTCGTCCACTAACGTTTTGCAAAATCGACAAAAAATAAGCAAAACATTTAGAAAATCTGAAAAGCGTATTTGCTATTTTCACGCATGTCATGCTCTTCTCCGGCATCAAGCCACTCCCGCGACGATTGCCCAAGGCCTCTGAGCACTACTTTCCAAAAACTCAACCACCGGAACTGCCAAGGCAACCTTCGAGTGACTCACCAACCGGCTCAAGGCACGTTCCTGGCCCAATGAACAGTCAGTCGCCCTAGACCACGGACGGCCACGACCGGATTGGTCTCCAAATGCCTGGCTACGCGTTCTTGATGAGAACGCCCGGATTTCTTCGTGGGACGAGCAACGTGGACTGAATGCGGGTGAGGGAAGTGACGTCTCCCTTTCGCACCGTCGGGTCTGCAGCAGAGGGAATGTCCTTTCAGTCATATTTCTAGACTAGCCAGTATTTTATAGTCCGACCAACCCACCTCGACGGCCCACCGAGGATGCAATATGGTCCACAGGATCATCATAAATAATTAATAAGAAAGCCTGGACCCAGCGAACTCTGCTACACACCCCATCTTGGAAGCCCTTGTTCAAACACATGCAACTATTTGCGCCCATCCTCACCTCCCGTTTTCCCCCACAAACAGCTCGATCGTAAGCTTCCATACTTCAACCTTCTAGGGTAAGGCCTTTGTAGTGTACCAGAAAACACGCTGTTTCAGTGTTTTGCAACCTTGAATTTCACCGTTGTTTTAACCTTCAAAACCTTCAGTTGTTTTACTGACAGCACTTCCGTTTTCACAAACTGTTTTGGTGAGTATTTTGCTGCAACGTTTCTCATTCTGGTTGATTCGCTTCCTATTTTTGTAGCCTGCACAATACCCGTTGGGTTCAGTCGCCTCCAACTTCTATACTATCCCGTATTTGACACGTCACTTACATGTCATTGATTACCTATTAGTATCCCAGTCGCCACCTGACAGGGTTCGATCGAATCCCGCACAGCAGGTCTTTTTCGAAACTGCGTAGTTTTGGAATATCAAATCCGCTGCCTTTTTGGTTTAAATGCTATCTGACTGGACGCTCCCAGACAGTGAACCTAAATGGGTTCATGTCTACCTCCCAACAACTTACTAGTGGCGTCATTCAAGGCAACGTTTTAGGTCCGATTCTTTTCCTACTCTACATAAACGATCTTATACCTGTCGTGCGCTTCGGAAGCCCATAGTTGTTTTCAAATGTTCTGAAGGTTGTATATACGTTCCATTCATCCCAATGCAAAACTGAGATAGCAAATAGTAAATGTGATCTACAGGCCAAAGAGGGCTGAGCTGTTTAGTAAAGGATGCACCTCTGCACCTCAAAATGCCATATTGATGCAAGATTGTTTCCACTTCATGGCGATCCCATTTCGGTGTGCTTTCCTATCAGAGATTCAGGACTGAGTTATTTCAGCTCCTTAAATTTCAGCGAACATGAAAACTATATTGTTTCAAAGGCAATGCAAGTATCGGGACGTATTATTCAATTACTAATGCTGAAAGAGACAAGGTACATGGCAAATAAAAGTAATGTAAGACCCTTGTTAGAATACTGCAGCGTTACGTACAACAATTTAGGTACATATAACTTGAACGCCATAGCAAATGTTCAACGTGCCTTCAACAAACACCTCTTTGGTTATTCTACACTTATTCCTTATAAAGCTAGATGCAGTTAATTAAAACTTGCGCCTTTATGGCTGTGTAGATTATATTTAAATCTTGCTTTCCTTCACAAACTTGCGTGTCATATTGTGCATAGTGAACCTTGCTCCATGCAATTTCGGTTGGAAATCACATCTGAAATACGCGACACCGACCGTATGACTGTAGTGCCTACTTTCCAGACCAGAGTCAGACAGAACCTTTATAATATTCGAACTGATACGGACAAAGCTACCTAGTTTTATACGAAGTACAAAAGGCTTGAACGTATTCAACAAATGGCTTCGGATTTTGCGGACACCAGCAAAAGTAATAGGGGTCTTAAGTTTGTAAGTGAACGACGATAGATTGTTTGAGGAAGGACCGGCTCATATTTAAAACAAAAGACTAAGGCAGCCATTTTTGAAGATGCTTTCAGTAACTCTGCCTTTTTTCAAATCTCAGTGAAAACCTACTGTTTTGACTTGCTATATAATCATCCTCACATCCCACATTTATTTTTCACGTCTCCACTGAGCGGCAAGTAACGGATATTTTCTTTGAGATCGGTTGTCTAAAATTAATGAACGATGGAGTCTGTCCTTCAGGTGCTGCCTCGCGATTGATTTTGAAGTAAAGCAAAGTCGTCATTTTGCTGCGTAGTAAATATGTTCAATGGTGTCGGATAGCCTTCGGGACATTGTCTGCGCTTTTCCATCGCTCTTGAACGGTAAAGAGAAGTAGACTAGTTTCTTTCCGACCGGAACCGTTTTAGCTCTCCATAGAGTGTCGTGATAAGAACAAACTTTTCCAGAAAGCCGTTTCTCTCGAAAAGTCCGATTAAGCAGTTCAACTAATGCAGTAGCTTGTCCACACTACAAATCTTTCTTGCTCTTACGGTTCAACACCTAATTTAGTGCCGTTTCTGATTCAGTGAGACAAAGCTAGCAAACTGTATATATTGTCCTTTCCACGTTGCTTTTTCTGTGCACTCTTCATTGGGTCGAGCCATCTGGTCTGCTGTCAATCTGGACGTCTACGAAGGGCATCGTGCCATTGCGTTCGGATTAGAGGGTGAACTTAGCATTATGGTGTGTTGAATTAACGTGGGACAAATTTTCTCTGTGCAACAGTGACTATCTGTTATAAATGATATATCATCTACGTATCGCCCATAGCTGGGTAGACAGCTAATGACGTCGCTGAGGTAGATGTTCTCTAAATTGCACATGTACACATCTACTAGCAACGGGCCTAGCGGTGAGCCCATTGCTACTCCGTACTTTTGTCTATATATCTCCCCGTCGAACTGAAAATGTATATTGCTGGTATACATCATGAGTAGCTATTGCATTCGGTTGAATTTTCTTTCCTCCACCATTGTCAATGAGAGACACTCACCACCTATTCCACCCCCTCTATCAAGCGCATTATCCCCCGTAGATCGGATTTACCTTATCAAGTTTATCACAACCTACCAAGCGAAGGTTGTGCGCAGTGAATACAGAACTGTAGTTTCGATGCTGTCCCTAGACGACCACATAACTTCTAGTAAAACAGAAAACTTCGAACATTTGTATATTTTTGTATTCCTCAAGTAATTGTTTATCACAAACATAACAATAAAGCACGGAAAATTGTGTGCAATGAATGTGTTTACGGGCTTATTAGGGAACACAGTCATAGGTGCAATATACATAATCTCGTAAGCAATTTACTTTGCATCTGTGTTTTAAATCCCCCTCACATCTCTTGCGGCAGTCATCCGAATTGCACCTACACTGATCGTCACAATCAATCTTCCACGGTGATCTTTGATCTCGCGGTATTGCGTCGCACGCCGCCAGAAGTAACACTAACCACACCACTTTCTGGAGGGGAAAGGGATACATGTGCGCGGGCCCTTCCGCTGATGGTATGTATATGAAGGTGAGCAAATGGATAGGGGGTGTGGAAAATTATCTGCCACGTGGGTACCTCACAAAGATATATTATGCAATGATTTCGTAAGAAATCCATAGGGTGTGGGTGGCTTAGTTTGAGCAAACATCTACCCCTCATACTTTTAAAAGGGAGCCTAAGTGGTTTAACTATGTACCTAGGTGCAACCCTTGTCAATGCAATGATATTCATCTAGCTATCTCCGGTGTTTTATAAAGAGAGTGGGGATTCGACAATTTGAAGCCATCCGCTCGGTGCTCATAATGTGGGTCTGTCAGTGGTGAGTACGTCTGTGTCTTATTCCGACGCTGACCACTATGGTGACCTCGGGAAGCACACACCACCGATGTCTACGAAAGGATCATGGGTGACTCTCAATACTGGACATACCCAGCCTAGGCTTTAAGGGAGACGCATGAGTGTAGATGGTAACTATCCTGCTGTTGTCTAACATTCGTCCACCAACCAAATCTCATACCTGGATTTATGTGACAAATTCCCCAGAATTAAGCGCTCTTCTAGATGGGTATGTCGAGGTAAATCAAGTCAAAATAAGTTTTATGAATCCTAATGGGTTCATTTTCAGCATTTACATCATCACTACGGAAAACTGGATGATGATAGCAACAAACATACCTGAGAGGAAAAAGATGGAAAATACGTACAATTGTCACTGCAACAACGGCACGTGCAGTACGTTTATGACTTGTACTGAGTCAACAAGCAAACATAATAAATAAGGCGAAACCGTTTTACGATCCGATGAGGTAGGAGAGGATAAAATTTTTAACTTTGAAGGCGTGAAACAGAACGAGAGCGTTTTTGAGAGAGCGCTGTGAAGTGGATGAAAACGAGCAGCTAGGACTTTAGCAGAAAAGTTATTGCAGGTATAAAGATGTCTAGAAATGACCAAATTTACTAAAGAATCTTTATACAGACCGCTGCATCTAGAAATGTACTTTATAGGTCGGGCCAATCAGATGTGGCCTTTCTGCAGAAGTCCAGGGAAGATAACGGGAGAGCAGTATATCCAATGGGGAATAATGCAAGATGAAAAAAATTAAATATTAAAGTACGGAGTACTGAAAGTACATTAAGTCTGAAGGCATAAGGAGAAACTTTCCTGCCTGTTTGACAAATATCACAAAGGTGTGTGAACCAAGAAAGGTGCTGGGACAAATATGCGCTGTGATACTTGATGGTGAATGAAACGGGTATGGGAGTTTTGTTCACAGTTAGAGTAGGGAAGATATCTGTGAGGTACTGCAGTTTATCGCTGCGAAGAAAAGAAAATATAACTGCAATTAGAAGCTCTAGGTCTCAGGGATCTAGATGAAGACCATTCCACCAGATCATCCAACACACTTGGATACTATGATGAATCCTGAATAGTGGGGGCCATACATCCCAGCACATCGTCAGCAAATTTTCATGCTATAGATATGGTTTGTATAGTCAAACGTTCAACGTATAGGACAAGTAGGAAAGTTTATAGGATGGCTCCCTGCAAAACACCCTGTCGGCACGGAGGACGAAAGGCTTCCTTTTGGTTCAATTGGTGAAGTAAGTACGTCCCATAAAATAGTGACGCAACCGATTACACACACTTGTGTGAACTGCATTCTCCGATATTAGGTTAACTTGACTAGTGCACCAACATTCAGATGGATGCATCACAATGAGCACACACTTAGTGCTGGGCTAGAAGACTGTAGCCACCCACTCCTAGGTGGAAAACAATGATGAGCAGGAAGAGGACTCCTCGCAGCTGGAAACTACACTATGTACGGAATTCGGAGTCCCGAACGACATAATGCTGTCAAAGCCGGCCAGAGCATAGAAAACACACAGTGGCCCAAGCTAAAAGGAAGTAACCAAGTCGGGCACCAATCAGCTGCATTCATTAAAAGATATCAAAAGGTGTTAAACGTCGGGGAACATAGTGACCTATCCTCGGTACCCATGATTCCTAACAACCAAAAGCAGTGACTAAAATTGTTCGTTAAGTTAAGAAGCAAAGAATGGATAGATAAAAAGCAAAGTTCAGGTTGCAAGAGTTTACGTAGGATGCAGTAAGCTTGTATTTTATCCAACGATATCTCGTTCCTCTTTTACATTTCGAGTAAGCTAGGGGTGCATAACTCACTCAGGGTATTCCAAACTCTCCTATAATGAGTGGATTAACTATGGAATACATTATGTACTCATGAGTAGAGGATTTTTGATGTAACTAATTGTGATTTCATCGCATCAACTTCCTAGTCAGGTAGTCCTCCACATGGCTGGAAAAGCACTAGACTGCGGTCACAACCTGTTGGATACCACCAGTAGTGCGCATCCATCGGACCCGCCATGATTCGAACCCATGATTACTACCAATTTGAACTGCCAGCCAGCAGCTTATGTCATTGGGCCAATGGGGCAACTTCGGATCGACAAATTTTTACAGGCCAACTGCGATATAGCGCGCTTATGATCCGTTGTTATGCGATTTACTAACGTTGCAAAGGACAGGGATAGCCCCGACAGACACTAATTCCATTGGCAGTAGCCGTGTAGCATATCGCATTTAAAAACCGTTAGGGTAACTATTTTTATACGTTCCTGCGTAGGGGATTTTTGAAGCAATTCATTGGGATTTCACCACATCGAGTTAAGGAAAGCCGTCAATGTTTACCTGCATCTTCGGAGTCACGCAGCACTTGACTCGGATTGTAATCGATCTGAGTTATATGTGATTGCGCGCATCGTACTTATGTGCGCGTCGCTTGTCTGTAGAAAAGCACCACCGCATGCACACGTATGAAAGGGTGCCCGATAGTTGAACCAGTCCCGCGAGTCGGTGAACGTGTAACATTCAGCGGCGCAGATGAAGGAACAGGGTCGACATTCCATACGTGGGGTTGCGTTGCTTTTACACCATCGTGTGCTTGGTTCGACACTGACTTGAGAAGCACGTAGAGAACACATTTACCCGCACCCTGCGCACGATTATATTCATTTGTGCGCCCCTTCGATCTGTGTCGCTGATGGACGACGCAGTAAGGAATTGAGATAATCACATTCAATACGCTTCGACCGTCCAACGTGACTGGTACTCATGAAGTTATTGAAGGACTACCAATGGACCGACAACTTTCTTGTACTCTACCATGTTGTTCGACTATTGGCCGTTACTATACAGTTCATCGTAGTCAAGTTGTCCGTCTGTGTGAACACACTAAGCTTGCCTGTCAGTATAGTTGCTGTGAGAGGGTTTACCACCGCCGAACCATCGGAGTTAGGTAGTAACGAGGCAAACAACAGCATGGCTGGTGATTGCAATGTTAGGACAGAAATGACGTTGATGAGGATGAACGTTATAGTAAGTGATTTATGGAGTCTGAGGTATGGACATGGTCCCGAGAGCAAAAAAGTTGGTTTCATCTCTCAGCTTGCAGGCTTTACTAGACCGCATAGCGATCGCTGGCTGGTGGACAAAAGAAACGATCCGTCATCAGACTGAATCCAGGTTTCCGCATATTAGCCTGTTCAGCTGGTGTAATCCGACAATGTATGGCAAGGAAAATCGACGCCGCACTCCGATTCCGCGTTTACCTTAGGTAGGATCATGTCACATGTTCTCCTGAGTATAGATCCGCTGGTCAGTGCCACGTGGTTGTGCAGTGTAACATCCGCTTTGCCGCAACGAGTGGTCATGGAGTGCCACAGAGCTCAGTATTGGGGGTACAAGTCTACTCTTGATTTGCATAAACCATCACACCACCATCACACCACCATCGTACTCTCTGCTGATGATCACAGGGTTTAACGACTCATGAAAATAACAAATGACTCAATAGCCCTACACGACAATCTTGACAACGCTTATGAGTAGATGGCTAAGAACTGGCTTCATTTCAACCCTACAAACGCGGCATATCAGAGCTGCGGGGTTGGCTTTGCAACATGGTTCCATTGCATGCAATCCAGGAGTGATGGTACATGAAGAACTTGGCTGTGCGCGTAAGGTTGAGGATGCAGCAAGGAAGCCAACCAACACCTTGACCTATTGTGGAAGGCATTCGGGATATTTGACCCTTCCATCTTTTCGCAAATTTTCAACCACCCCCTTCAGAATACGCCATTCAGCCAAACAGCCTTGAGGAAAGCAAGATTTTGCCGCACTGGAGATCCAACGACTGAGGGCGATCAAGCACTTAGAGCGTTGTTTGACCTCTTGCCATCTAAGATCAAAACCTTCGAAGTCTGCAGTGGACGGTATCGGCGCCTGCATGGCGGTTTGCTGTTGACGTACCTGGTGCGCAGGAACCCAGGCTGCTTTTGTCGCCGTATTCTGAAACCATTATTAATTAGTTGTTAAACGATACATCCTTCACCTCTGCGTACTTGGACGACATTCCTATATCTAGATGCTCTGACAAGGAAGACCGAATCCTCTCTGTCTTATGTGAACAAATGGTACGCAGTGAGCTTCATTTGAGGAGTTCCATGCACATCTTTCTTTTCACAATTGCGTATTGTCTTGGAGGTCAGTTTAATAACGTAGGTCTACAAGTTCCAAATGACGGAGCAGGGCCTATTTTACAAAATCGTGTGTCGATCAACAGTGATGTGCCCCGTTCGATCCAAGGTATGCTATGCGATCACTTCCGATAAATACTTGATGAATTCACTAGGCTATCTTCACCTAATGAGTTACTGCGTAAAATGTGTCCTATTCTTTGCGTTTTCGTCAAAGCTGTGCCTCCGCTAAAGCCAACCAGGCCGTACCCTTCTTAACAATGTTGGATCCTTATTAGTCTAGAAAGCTACTCGTTACCTAATATCGCGTATTCCTTCGGAAAGCTGGTGCTATCTTCTGGTACAGCAAGAACAAGAGATTTTGGTTCCCCTACGACATTTTCCTCTCACACCCTTAGCCGGTGGAAGGAAGGCGATTCAAGAGTGGATAGAGAAGTTCTGTATACAATCTCGGAAGGAAAATGGCCATCAAGATCTCTGGGGGAATTTCTAGGCTTCGTGCACATACCAAACCTTCGATTTCATTGTTGGATGAAACCAGACATATTCAGCAAATCCCTTCGTCAAAAATGTAGAGTTGGGTTCTGTCATCGAAATTACGTATAATTTCTTTGCCCGGGAGCGTTTACCAGTCTTAGAGATGTTAAATACACTTGCTTCCTTTGGGAACCTTTTCTGTTTTGATGCCGCACCTGAATATAATGCATCTACGATTGCAATGGAGGATGGAGAGAGAATAAATTTTTTCAACAGTTGAACGGCGCGATGCCCTTCGGTAGTTGGAGTGAGTTCGGCTGATTCAATGGTTAAGTGTTTTGTAATTGTCGATTGATTCCCGTTAGAAGGTGTATGTAACTTCTGGGAAACAGATGTATTACAGGAATCTATATCAGCCCTTCAGGACAAAAGAGAAACAGAGGAAGTCATAGTCCTCGAATAAGCTAGAGCCTGCTAAGAGCGAAACACAGGTAAAATGATAAATACACAAAAATCTATCTGTATTCTTAATCTTTCGAAATCATAAACAACAAGTCGATTCCAAGGTTATTCCAAGAGGAAGCAGAAGCGTATCGGGTGTTACCCTTCCGAAAACACTACACTAAAACGCGTTCCGAACTTACGTGAACTCACCAGGTGGAAATAGCTGGCGTCGAACCCGGGACCACTAGAGTGATAACCGGAACCGTTTAATGACTGATTGTGACAGGTGGGCGATAAAGCTGATTGCCAACGCGCGCGTGTTCGCCTCAATAGCGTGTTCAGACAGATCTCGCGAGCTTGTTTCCACGGCCCAGCCGAAAGCTGATAAAATCACGCATCAGACATCATGCGTGTTACCAAGGTCTGACCCGGAAGCTGATGAAATCGCGCGTCAAACATCATGTACGTTGCAAAATCCCGGGTTGGCGGATGAAGACTGGCGTGCTCGAGCAAGACGGTGCTGGCCAGTCGGAGCGGACAGTCACATGTGGAGTGTGGGTGTACTAGGAAGACAGGTGGCCAAATTCGCCACGCGATGTCTGGTGGATTGTGGAGACCGACCTATAAATATGAGCGTTCCCGGTTCTATTACAACGCTGGTCGACTGAGTATTCTTCTGTTTTCCTTCCTGTCTGGTTGGCCAAAGCCTCAGACAAAGCAGGTGTAAGGGCGCAGAATTACCAGCAGGCGTGAACCAACCGGTCGATTGCCGGTACAGGGTTATAGCAGGTTGGATATGTCATTTTAAAGCACCAGTTTTGTACCCTGATTCACATCGGACCGAACCTTGGTCAACTCGATCACTAGGACAGCAACTGTTGAATCTGATAGAGATGTGATGTGGCTTGCCCGAAAACTTCGTACCACTCCATATCCATCTGCTGCAGCTTCGGTCTCAGTGATAAAATTGACTAGACTACAATGCAAATCGCGGTCACATTGTGATTGTGCGTCGCAATCTAATCACACGACGAGTGTTTCAAAATGATCCTTCAAGCAAAGGACGCCAACTTATGGGATAACGGCAGGCTACCCCAGGTTGCCACACGTAACGCATTAGCAACCGGCCACCGCAAGTGTACTCTGTTTGATCTAAAACGGTGTGCAGCTCCAGGAAGTCAAAGTTGTTCTGTACCATTTTCGTTAATCAGCAAGACTTCTCTTGAAAGTGTAATTGGCCTATCTTCAAAGACTAGATATTAGTATTATGCTTTTTATTTCCTGATATTTTAGATTCATTTTACTTCATTGTTGGCCACGAGTGGGCTGATCTCTTGAGGTGATGGATTACAGCTTGCAGGCTAAAAAAGTTATACCCATGCAAGGCATATTGCCACTGTCTCACTAGCGTGTAATCGGAAAAAGTGCCATACTTGTATGATCCGCATATCGGAACGGGCTGAGGCTTCATCGCCCATAATGAATGCATAAAACGGCCCTTATAAAGAAACTTTGTTAAGCAGTTAATGGCTTGCATGCCATTTTGCCACACAGGCACACAGCCAGTTAGTGTATGGAAGTGCGGGAGAAACCCATCGAGGGATTAACCCGCATGGAAACAGGCCTCCTGGTAACGGTTCCATGATTTGCCGTATTACTTTAATTGAACTTTTGGCTAAATCGGCTTTTGTTAATGTTCCCATTTTTTATCACTCTGATATCTTCAGACTACCAATCACTTCAAAAAACTCATTTGGGATTCGTTATACGAAAGAAACACATTTGACTAGTTTGTGCGATCTTGCTGTACAGATTGATCAGGCCGCTCAGTTGGACTGTGCTTTGCAACGTCGAGGAATAAACCGTTTATTTATTTAGTTATTTAGGGGTGTGCCTTGTCACTTCGATTGGACCTGAGAATTTCTGCATCGACTTAAACTTGATGCATATTCCCCAGTGAAGTGTCCAGTCTGACCGCTAGCAATAAAGTGCTGAGGGGACGATTACCCACCTGATTCCGTGATCTTGACTACCTTCACTGTGGTTTGCGGAGACATAATGCCTAGTCATCATGAAGCTGTCGGCCTCAAAAATGGATTTTGTCAAGGAACAAGCCAAGGCACATATAACTCCGTGTTCCTCGAAACGTCTATTTTGCCATATTTCACAACAGGGACCTGCATGTTCGTTGGGTGTTGATCAATACAAAATCAGTAGGGGTCCACATGAGTAGACTTTCTAGATTAAGTCCCTGTTTTAGGTTGGCCATGAGGTGCGTAGGGGAGCAGAGCAATGATCCCCAAGTTCCCACTGCAACTAGAATCGTCTTGAACAGTTCATCCTCAAGGTGAGAAGCAGAGCTGGATGTGGATCTGGTCAACAATACTGCAGGGAACCAATCATCATTCATCATTAGACACGCTAGCTTCAGGTGGAAACCACCTCAGCTATGGTATCGCTCTGCAGGGTACCCACAATAAAACAAAAAAAGGACTAGAGTCCCCAACCGAATACTACGACACGATGTAGCCTTAGAGACTGGCTGGATGCACGGCCAGGATCGGTGTGATCCTCCAAGAAGTGCGCGATACGTTTGGCCTTTCATAATCATCTGCGAACATCATTATAACAGATTATGAAATTATACTTAAGCGGGTAGTTTTCACCGCAAAGCGTTTCGCCCCGGAGGTGGCGTTTTGCTACACAGAAGCAATGCATCGGTTTTCATGGAATAAAAACCTGGCCACAGGACTGTATTAGTGTTCAACATCCACTTCCTGTGGGTAACACCAATTGAGGTGTCATCACACTCGATGATTTGGAACATCTAAAAACAACTTGTCATGTGTAACCTTGCCATTGGATGGTAAATGTGAAAAAATTAGCAATTTCACATTCACACACTAGGACCAGTTATGTGAAAACTGCATAAAATCAGTCTTGCAGGGCAGTGTTTAACTGGAAATCAATGAGTACAATCTACAGATTGTTAATGCGAGAACTGCCAAAAGTATAATGTGTCTGAATCGCAATCGCAATTTGTACCCTCCGTACACATGCGGGACACCAAGGGTAGCATGATTTTCTTCATCATCCACGGCATATAATGGTAATTAAAAGTGTTTCATTGTTGGCTGTCTCGAGTCTGGCCTTCCGTTCGCAATGTCATAGCGTTGTAGGATGAAGTGAGTGGAAATGGAGCTAAACGACAACACAACCTATGTTTCAAAAGTTACCGATGTCACGTCGTCCTG